TAGGGTTCAGGGGTTTTTGAAATTAGGTTTTTGGATTTAGGGCTTTGGGATTTTGAGGGTTTGGGGGGTTTGGGGTTAAGCGTTATTTGGTAGTAGTGTGTTGGTGTTAGGGTTGTTGAAGGCCCTAAACCGCTTTAGGGCTGGTAAAGGTTGGGCTTAGGGTTCTCTGCGGTTCAGGTCCCTAAACCCTAAACCCTTAACCCTAAACAGCTTTAGGGCTGTTAAAGGTTGGGCTTAGGTTTCTCTAGGGTTTAGGAACGGGTTTAGGTCCTTAAACCCTAAACCCTAAACCCTAAATGAAGGCTTAGCTTTTCTCAGTATCATTGAGGCCGGGGCTGTTGCTGCATATGAGCTACAGTCTAAACTCCTTAGACGGGGGGTTTTATAGGGGACTGTTGTAGGGGTTATTAAGGTGGATACTAGGAGTTTAGACTATGTATCGTATCATTTCCGCAACCTTTCATGTTTACCTGAAGCCTGTACCCCTTCAGAATGGTCATGCTGCAGAGTACCGCAACAACACAAAAGATGCAGGCATCTGGACATTGGGTGGGGTGCATTTCAGTGGGGTGCATATGGTGCAGGGCCCACAGGGTTCCAGGATTGAAGGGTAGGGTTTGCCGTTTCAGGGATTGGCGTTGAAACTTAAGCAGCATTCAAGGGTCAACCCTAAACTTTGGCCTTAAACCATGTAGTAATTCCGAGCATCATCCGCAAACGCAAGAACAAAGGAACACCGAGGTAAGACTGCTCTGGAGTTGGATATTTAGAGCAAGACCTCATGAGCGTGTTAGCGTTCAGGGTTTTTAATCCAATCCCCTAATATTAAACGCCCCCACCCACCCCCACTGGTATTAAATATTCCGAAGATATTACAAAGTACCACAATCGGGAGGGGGAGGGGATCAGTACGAACATGTATTTGAAATCCTTCAACCCTAAACCCTAAAACCCTAAACCCTAAACCCTAAACACCCCCAAAATGGTGGCGTGCATATTTTCCCACCCTGCGCCATAGTGGCAAGAAGGGCGGCTCGCGGGGGTTGAAGTCAAATTCATATGAGCCATAGTCTAAACTCCTTAAAGGGGGTTATATAGAGCGTAATATAGGGAACTACCATAGGGGATATTAAAGGGGATACTAGGAGTTTAGACTACAGCTCATATAGGGTTTAGGGTTTAGGCTTTCGGGTTTAGGGTTTAGGGAATAGGGTTTAGGGTGTACGGTTTAGGGAATAGGGCTTAGGGTCTAGGGTTTAGGGATGAGGGTTTGGGGATTCATACTTCACGGTGGTTTGTAAGATGTGCGGTTGCACTTTCTACTGTGCAGATTTAGGGGGTGTTCAAAACTATGCACACCCATGTGGACCCCAAAATGCTATGCGTCCCACTAGGGACTCCCAAAAAGAGGCTGATAAAGTTTTGGAACCAGGGTCGTGTTTCAACTGTTCTGCTTGGGGCTCGAGCTTACGAGCTTAGGGCTTGTGCCATATGCACCAGCAGATAAAAAACTGGCTGAACAAATCCTTATCCTTGTATGAACATCCTCCCATCCCACAATAGTAAGCATGTCTCCTAGCATAAGGTCTCGTCTAGGGAGAATTAGGGGAAGATGCCTGATTATGTAATTTCAAAAACTGAAACATGGCCGTGAGTGTATACCTATACAACCCACCACTTACGGTGCAGTCGGGTGATTTCGGTTTTTGTTTGCCCATCGAAGACCTACGCTTGAGCAGGGTGTTTGGCCAGTGCGTTTTTCGATCGGATCCGACAATTCGATCATAGCACCCTAATCCCAAGAATAAACAAACACGCCCCAAACTGACATTTCACAGCGCCCAGTGTAGGTGTTAGCACCCTACATCCCTAAACAACACAGCGAAAGTCTCGAATTGGGAGTTTCCATAAACAAAGGGACACTCCTAACGCACCCCCATATACTATAGTCCCTAGTAGCGCCAGGACCCTTAAAAGCCTTAAAAAGGGATCCGTAATTTTCAGAAACCCTAAACCCTAAACCCTAATTCCCATTTAAAGTAACGGCAGCCAAGGACACAGGTCGTGCCTCCCGGGCCCAGGCCCTCCGAGACCAGCTCCAGAGATGGTCTAAGCAGCTTTGCTGCACTAAGAGCTGATTTAGGGGTTTAGGGTTTCAGGGTTTAGAGGTTTAGGGCGTAGGGTTTAGGGTTTAGGGTGTAGGGGTTTAGGGTTTACAGGGTTTAGGGCTAAGGGTTTCATAGGCTGTTCAAAAGGGCTGGGCATTTCATAGGGTTGTCAGTCGGGACCCTTGTCAGCATTTGCACTAAACCCTAAAGCCCTAAACCCTAAAATCCAAAACCCCTAAACCCCTAAACCCCAAACCCTAAAGCCTGAAACCCTACACCCCAAACCCTAAAATCCTAAACCCCTAGACCCCCAAACCCTAAACCCTAAAACCTCAAAAACCCTAAAACCCTAAACCCCAACCCCGAGGAGAGCTGCCCCGTGGAGATTTTCCCAACGGCTCCACTCAGCCTTCGATCCTGAGGCTTGGGTTTTTCCGGGCTTATTTTTTGAGGGTTTAGGGTTTTTAGTGTTTGGGATCATTTTGTGTTTTTGGGTTTAGGGTTTGAGGTTTGGGGCTATTTGGGGTTTGGGGTTGTTTTGGGTTTGGGGTTGTTTTTGCTTTAGGGTTTTGGGCTTTGAGGTTTGGGAGTAGCCTGAACTCCTCCCTCTAGTGCGGAAAATCCAGCCAGTGGAAAAGAACATGGAGAATGAGATGCAAGCAGGGTTTGTACAGGGGTTATATAGGTAGAGTACGCCGGGGCCTATTTAATCTAGCGTTCTGGGGCATACCCCATAGTAGTTATGTAAGGGTAATAAGGGCATGGTATTGGCAGTACTTCATGCATCTACATAGCTCATCTTATTGGTATTTGCCAGAGATCGCTATAAAGGATAATGTAGGGAATACCATATTGATCCATCCTCCACTCCTTATCAGCCGTGGGCCAGGCTTAGTTGGGAATACGGGGAATGCATCGGAAGTGTTGTCCGCAGATGAGTGTTGCTCTGGACCGAAATTTGCACCTTCTAAAGATCATCACAGCACTCTCATTCCTAGTGTACAAGGCATAGATCATGGTGCAAGAGTTCCTTCATCTACTCATGGCAACATGTATTACCTCGATTTATTGGGGCTCTTTTGGGAGCTGGGTGTCCTTGAGGATGAGAAAAGGGTCCTTAGGGGGCCTTTAGGGATGTACACCAAAATCTGGGGAGTTTTGGGATGGCTTTCTGGTTAGGGTCATAGGGTTTCAGGGCTGCGCTGCGGGGTTAAAGGTTTAGAGGGGTTAGGGTTTAGGGTTTCCCGTTCCGTGAGGGGCTTCCAGTCTAGGAGCTGTTGAAGAGTTTGGACTGCTGGCTGTATCACGGTGGCATGCCTCAGATATGCAGCCTCCTCCTTCAAAAGAAGTCGAGGAATACGGTGGATACTAAAAATCCTGCATGACCCTAAATACCTTATACCTTGGGAATTATGGTACGATAGTATATTCAGGTCATGCAGGATGTTTAGTAATAACAGTATTGAGGAGTTTTAAGAGGTTGGGCCTCCAGACCTGGAGGCCGCCGTTTAGGGCTTAAGGATGCCAACCCCAAGGACTTGCAAGCAATCTTAGGGTTTAGGGTTTAGTGTTTAGGGTTTAAGGTTTAGGGTTTAAGGTTTAGGGTTTAGGGTTCGCAGTTAACGCCAAAGCCCCGGACTTCGCAACCTGCACGTTTAGGGTTTAGGGACCCAAGACCCTGAACCCTACCTAGACACCTGTCGGACCGGCCGAAACCTCTGAAAGCAGGGTCCAGAGAAACCAGACGGGCTTAAGGTCTAGAATACTTAATCGAGCTTTAGGTGTTTGGGTTTATATGGTTTCCAGTTTAGGGCTTAGGGCCTAGGATCCTTAACGCGGGCTTTAGGGTTTTGGGGGCTTAGGGTTTAGGGTTTATAGGGTCTAGGGCTTAGGGCCCAGGATCGATGTCTAGGATCCTCAACCTTGAGCCCCAAGACCTCAACCCTAAACTCCTTTCTTTGCATGCGTGAGTGTAGAGCCAGCCCGGAAAGCAAAAAGCCTAAACCCTGAAACCTAAGCCCCAAACTCTACCGGGTCGGGAAGATAGCTGCGGGTTTAAGCAGGTTCTACAAGGACAAAAAACAACAATTACAGAAGAAAATAAGAAAAATAACGAGTGCAATCATAGGGGCATGGTGATGTCTTTACTTAGAAAATGTTGATGAGGCTTGTGGTGGCTCTACATTCAGTGGCTTTGAGACATTTTCAAGAATCCTGGTACAACCGGGCCAGACAACTGTCAGCCCTTGTCCATGACGGATGCTTGTTGTTGACCAGCAATATGAAGAAATGAACAGATAGTGTAGGGGCATGATTTTGTGGCAGGTGTTCGAACTTAGAACGAGGGAAGTACTGATTCACAGGCTCCCGCGCAAAAATCATTTGAAGTGACCCTTAGTCATCCCCGAACATTCGTCACACATCTCAAGATCCGGGCATGGTAGAGGAATAGAGGAATAGAGTAATCTTTGCTTCTGGGAGCCGGCCATGTGGAGTAAGCTCCATCTCTGTGTTGTTAGGGAGGCGCTGCCAGCCGACATGGGGAATAAGAGTTACCTTAAATGATTTCATCATGTGTTTGACGAATCCGTGGCAAGAAGTCCAGTTCTGACTGTATGGGTGTCCCCACGATATGCCTACCTTTGTGTTGCGGCTCTGGTGGCAGTATTGGCATTCGCAGCTGGCGTCAATGTTCTGGACGATGACAACGGCGCCATCGTTGTCGCCGTCGAGCATGTCCAACTTGCGTGGCGGATGGTGGAGGTTAATCTTGGCATCCGTGAGGCGTGGCGTAGCTTTCTTGCTGATTGTGACCCCGCCGAGGCCAGGATTGTTTTTTGCCTTCTGCCACAGACAGACGTAGTACTTGGCTTATCCTGCCTTTCCCGTCAGGACCCGGACGACGAGGATGAGGACGATCATCTTCCGCTGCAGCCCGCGGCCATTTCAGAGCGCTTCGCAGATGCGATCGCAACGCAGCACCAGGCTGAGGTTGCAGTCCCGCCCACCGTGCTCGACACACAGCCGGTGGACGACGGTGAAGGTCCTGGGAATATGGGCCCTGGTTCTGATGGAGCTGAGGATGTGGTGACCTGATTGAAAATGCCGAAGCAATACTCCCTTGCTAAGAGTCCTGTGCGTTCAGCACGGGCTTGGAGCCTGCAACACGATGATCCTTCCCAAGACGGACAACAAGCAGCTGCTCCGAGACAGACATCTCCTGAGCAAGGCACATCTGCCGGCCGAGGCTGGGAAGTATGCGATTAATTCTTGAGCCGCTTGTGACTGCTCTGCAGCTCCAGGTCAAGTCTCCGCGAGATCCTTGGTAGACAACAACCAGGTTCTCGCGCAGACAAAGAACCCACAGAAAAGCGCGCGCAACGTGCAGGCAGCCGTTGCAAAGCCTCGCCGGAGGATTCGGCCCTCCATCGCTGACGCCCCTTGCTCGCAAGTTGTCACATGACTTCAAGCGCTTCACGCCTTTTTATGCCTCCGTGAGAAAGCCGCGTGCCCAGGTGACAAAGCTCTTCGACGCTACCGTTGACACCTTCGCGCGCCTCTTTAAGTGGGCGTCCAAGCAGAAGTCGGAGGTGGAGCTTCTGAGCTGGTCAGACAGCCCTCGTAATCAAGTTCTTTTCCATAATTCGTGCATGGAGCTGCTCACACTTATGGTTTGACAGATATTTCCCCATCTCATTGCTCCCATTCTCATGTGATGTTTATGTCGTTTATGTCCTCTGTCCTTTGGCAGAGTCTTGGTCATGTTTCACATGTAACATTTAAGCTCGAAGGAGCCAGCAGCGCCATTCCTGTGAGTGTGGACTGGACTGACTGGGTGATTAGATTTGGAATTGAGAATTATTTGGTGATATTGTTGATTACCGATTGAGCCCAAACATATTGGCGTGGAGGGATTTTTTACAATTTCTTTCCATTTTGCTCGAAGCTTGTCATTGATTTTCCCCAACCTCCTCCCGCATGTCTTGCCGGATCTTCCCATGAGTACTCCTCTACGAGTCTAGCGTCCATTCCATAACAGCTGAAGCAAAACTATGACCTTAGAAAGCACGTCGTAAAGATGTGCTGATAAAGTGCGACGCCCTGCTTGTGAGGCCCGCTGTGCATATGCTTCCCAAAATTGGTAGGTCACCTTTACGACACTTTTTAACTCGGTGCAGGTGTGCTCCAGAAGAGGTTGGGGTTTGAATGATCTTATTAAATACACATCGGCAGCAGGGTCACTCGAAGTGTGCTTGGCCATTTAGCCTTTTTACTCCAGCACTTCTTCCAGAGTCACTGGTAGTCACAGACGTGCTTTGAATCACGACAGAAAAAGACGCCCCCGCACTTTCAGCCTTCTTCCAGGGGGTGGAGGGGTTCTGGCCGCAAATCTGCGGGTGAGTGCCTTGAGGCCAGGGAGCCACCTGAGAACCCCCCAAATTTTGGGGCAGGGGGTCCTAAACACCCTGTCCTGGAGGAGGCCTGGAGGCCCTGGAAGCCCTGGAGGCCCTGGAGGCCCTGGAGGTCCATGTAGTACCCCATTTCATGCGCACAGCAGCTGCCGTGAGGATATGCCTGCCGATTCTAACTTAAACACGATGTAGACCACAATCGGGAAGAATCGGGCCCGGAACTAACCGGGACCGAAACTGCTGCGGCAAGCCCGAGCGGAGACATTGAAACCTGCCACGGAATCTGAGCAGTGAGCGGTCCCAGTACCATGTAGGACCGGATGCGCTTTACCACCGGGACCGGGCGGCCGGCTCGGTGAACGGGCCACCGGGATCCTAAGCCTTAGCTTGCCTTGTCTGAAGGCCCGCCAAGGGCGGAAGGATGTCCGGAAGTGGCGTCAGTGGCACGAAGTTTTCTGCATCCTGCTGCTCGGTTGTGCAAGAGCAGCAATGAGGGTTTAGGGTGTGGGGCAGTTTATTACGAGGTTTCCAGCAGCAGGTTTGAGGGCCGGTTTGGTTTAGGATTGAGGATTTTCAGAACGCTACAGCCTGAACCCTAAATCCTAACCTTAAATCTTAAACCCTAAGCCCTAAACTCTACATCCTAAATCTAAATCCTAAACCCTTGACGTCAGTTCCCAGCTCTGGCCTTTGCAGTGGCAAGCTGTTGAGAGACAAGGGAGCCGCAGTGAAGTGAAGACCCCAATACTTAGGGTGTATGGTTTAGGGGTCCACCCAAACCTGAATCCATAAGTTAAAAGGAAACTGGGGTATCCTAATGAAAACATTTTGCCAAGTTGGTGCCTCAAGGTTAAGGGTATGTATAGCCCAATAGAATTGCATTATAGCCCAACTTAATTCAGATGTACACTCAAATTGGGTTATAGCTACCTTGTGAACATCCAAGTGAATTTCGAAAATCATGTTCCCCTTTCAGGCCCATACTACATTGTGCTACAGCCCTATATTTTTAGGGTATCCAAAGAAGGGCCAGAATTCCGGAATCCTCCATTTACGTATTTGAGCCCTCACCCACCCCAAGCCCTACACCCTAAAGAGCCAAAACCATTAAACAAAAACGCAAAAGAAACACGGAAGAGACACACAAGAAACACAAAAAAACATTAAACATGGAAGCCCACAGCAGAAGCCGCCAAGCACAAAGACGCACGGAGTCCCCAAAACCCTGAGCCTCAAACCGGCAACGGCGCTTTTGTTGGATGTGATTTCCTCAAGGCACCTCCCCCCCCAGAATCTTTTAACCCCCCTTAAGAAGATAGAATATGGCTCTGGGTATATTCTAATAAGGTCCCCATATACCCCATATTTTATCTACTCAAAAAGGACTATCTGTTTCTGAAAGCTTTGCAACGTTGGATTTAGGGTTGAGGGATTTGGTTTTAGGAGGGTTCAGACCACGCCTCCCTTACTCAAATCTCAGGAACGAGATCGAGCAGCATCTGTTCCTCGTGGCGATTTTCAGGTTGTATTTTTTGTATTCGGCCACATGAAAGTTTCTGATGGGGACAGGTACGGCGATATTCAAAAGCAGGAACCATTGTTCCACGGTTTTTAACCTTTGGCAATCACGACAATAGTGAGGGTGAAGGAACATGTGTAGGAGCCAAAACAGAAGCATCGATTGTTTACTAATGGATGCAATGACCACAGCAACTGCGGCAGGTACACTCCCAAGCAGGTGGCCTGGGACGCCGAAGCCCAATCCACAGAAATCTTCGTCCAAAGCCCCTTTAACCCTTCTCACCTTCAAGGCAACAAGCCTCACACTGACAGTGTTAAGGGGATACTCGCCCGAACAACAATAGCAATGCTCATGCGCCTAATCCAGGAACGACGTGGTCGCTGGCCTTCGCCAAGCAGACTCCTCGATGAGACGATTGTGCCGCAGTCACGGCTCAGACGTCCTGCAGGTGCCTTGGCTAAAAGCATGTTCCAGTCTCTTCTGCTTCTGCGGCTAGCAACCACCGTCGCCACCGCGGCTGTTGCAACACTTGCAGCACCGACTGTATCCACAGAGGCTGCCGCTGCCAGCGCTGTTTCCTGCTCCTGCTGCTGCTGCTGCGGCGCTTGTGGGGCCGGTGCTGCTACTGCTGACGATCAGGATGTTGTGAACAACCAAAAGGAATGCGAACAATCACAAAGGTTGCTCTCATCGCCATGAATGCCCAAAGTGTGCCAGAGCTGTTGCTTTGATATCCGCAGCTCAGATTGTTGCAATGATCCGTCCCATGTATCCTTACCACGGAAGAGCTACAGATGCTAGGCTTGAGAGTGCCGCTAGCACCGTGATGACTGTAGCTATTGACTTTCTGTGCTCCGCTTTGCTAGTAGGAGCAAACTTTCCAGGATTGCCCTCATCGCACTGTCTTATGGCAAGCACTCCCTCTAATGACTCTAGTGTGACCGTTCGTAGCATCATCACCAACGTCGCAGTGATCTTTATGGTGCCTAGCACGGATTCTTTGATAGACGAGTAAGCAAAACCAGTGACCAGGAAGCCTCACGCCTCCCTGCCTTCCTTTGTGACGCAGCTCTCTACTACAAGCCTCTTTGGCCGGAACTGGTGGTACTCCTGAGGTTGCTTTTGAAACTAGGTACCCCAGTCATATTTTGGGTTCTCCGTATTGAAAGAAAACATTGGCAAAAGGGTGCCCTTCTTATTAAGGGGTTACTGAGGAACCTAGCAAGAGGAGCAGCAATGTAGGGTTTTGCTCGAGGATCCTAGAGCCAATCCTTGTAGAGATGTTCTGAACTTGGATACTGCCCCCACCCAGTGAAGGTTGGATGATCACTACAACATGAATGTATCGAGCATTTCATATACCCCCATTATATGGTGGCAGTACCTAAGTCTGAACCCTCAATCTGAAATCACAGCCTGCCCCCGAGACAAAATGCAACCACATTGAGGCTTAAGGGACAGTAGTCTACAAAGAGCCCCCTTCAGTTTCCATGCTAGTAAACAGCGTGTACACAGCAACATTGGATTTTACACCAGCAGGGGCCATGAACCTATGAAGGGTGCAGTCTAGGCTTTAGGGGGCACCCCGCTTTGTCGAGTACAAATTCAAGCTCCAAACTCTAACCCTGAGGGTCCAAAGTATATAGTGATCATATATTGCCCCCAAACTGTGGTAGCGAGTCACGATATAAACGTCCCACAGTATGTGATTCTTGATGATGCACCCGTAGGGTAAAGCCCAAACCGCCAACCCTCAACTCCAAGCCTGAAACCTGCCCTCTTCGAGAAGCCCGGCCACAGTTCCTGGTTTCTCCAGCGTGGCTTTTGTCTAGCTAGGCCCCCAGCGGGTTTGAGAACAGCAGCTGGATACTGACCCCCAAGAATGATGGTCGCAATTTCTGTGTGATACCCGTATTGGATAAGTCCAGACTGTCATTGGTTCACAAAATCATTTCTAAGTACATGTTTCCTCAAAAAGCACCCCTATACGGCCCCAAATGGAGACCCCATTGCTTTAAGTCGTATCAGGTCTGAAGCAGCTGTCCATGGGAAGCCACTGGGCCGTTGTTCATGGAGATGTGTTTAGGGTTTAGAGTTAAAAGTTTAGGTTTTAGGCTATAGGATCTTGGACTGAGCACGTGTGAGATAGGGTT